TGGAATTCTCCTCCGGTGTCCGTGGCATGTGCTTGAACTTGGAAGCCGACAACGTCGGTGTCTCCATCTTCGGTAACGATCGTCTCATCAAGGAGGGTGACACCGTCAAGCGTACCGGCCAGATCGTCGACGTCCCCGTCGGCCCTGCTCTCCTCGGTCGTGTTGTTGACGCCCTCGGCAACCCCATCGACGGTAAGGGCCCCATTGAGGCCACCCAGCGTAGCCGTGTCTCGCTCAAGGCGCCCGGCGTTCTCCCTCGTCGCTCGGTGAACCAGCCCATGATGACTGGTATCAAGCCCATCGACGCCATGGTGCCCATTGGTCGTGGTCAGCGTCGCGCTCGCGCTGCTTCCACCCCCCGTCTGCCGTTTGCCCATTGCCGAGCGGTTGCCGCCGACGCGGTTTCGCTCGGCGCAGCTTCCACCACCGCCACTGCCGTCTGCCCCTCCCCGCGTGCGAGCGGCCCACGCGGTTTCGCTCAGCGCCGCTTCTGCCCCCGCACCCGCCATTCGCCCAGTACCGAACGCGAGTCGCCAACGCGATCGCGCTCGGTGTCGTCTCCTCCTCCCGCCCTCTTTCACTCAATGCCGAGTGCAAACCGCCAACGCGGTCGCGCTCGGCCTTGTCTCTCTCCATGGCGCCTACCTTCGTCTAGCGCCAATCGTGAGCCGCCAACGCGGTCGCGCTTGGCGCAGCTTCTCTCCCCTCCCGTTCGCCCAGCCCGGAGCGCGAACTGCGTACGTCTTCCGCTCGGCGTCCCCGCTGCGCCAAAGCACCCACCTCCATGGTGCCAGTGCGCTCGACATCTGCTGCGCCAACGCGCTTGCCCGAGCCCGAGCCCGCGCGTTTGTCCCGGACTGCGCCAATGCGCTCAACGTGTCCGCCTTCACCTGCGTCAACGCGGCCAGCTCCGCTGCGCCAATGCGCCCGATGTTCGCTGCGCCAACGCGCTTGCTCCGGACTGCGCCAAGCCCGCTGCCTTGCCATCCCCCACCCGGTGCACCCATGCTCGACCCCACCTTGCCTTCAGTGCTGGACTCTGCAGCAGCGCCATGCTCCATCCCGCCTCGCCGCCGTGCTCCATCCCGCCTCGCCGCCGTGCTCCATCCCGCCTCGCCGCCGTGCTCCATCCCGCCTCGCCGCCGTGCTCGATCTACCCAGCTGCCGTGCTTGACCCTGCCTCGCCTCCCGTGCTTGAAGCTGCACATCTCCCATGGTCGAAGGCACGTGTTTCCAGTGCTCGAAGCTCCCGGCAATGGGTTACGCTTGGTCTCTCGCCCGCTGCTCCCGACCTGCTTTACTCATGCCCCACTCGATGCCACTCCGGCACCCCACGCTTGGGGTGTGCTGCAGTTGATTTGACATGCTCATCGCAGCAGGCTCGATGCACACGCCATGGCCGGCTGAACTCTAACCATAGAGCTTATTGTAAT